TCACTAGTCTTTCACTAGAAAAATAGATTTTGCTATCAAGTTTCCTCTGAAACTTTTAACAAACATATTGCAAGAGAGAAAAGTGAACTTAACTATGGTAAACAAATTCCTTCCTTCAAGGCACTGTTATATAACTTTCAATGTCAATTTGAAAATAATTCAGGAAGTCAGTTGATAGAAATATTACCTTAATAATGAAAGAGAACAAAAGAAAAAAGTCTTTATTTGGTGAAACAAAAAGGCTGAATGGAAAAACAAATCAGATTAAGACTTCTGTATGGAAGAAAACTAATAATTTTGGCTAAAATAGAACAAACATTACAAGTTTGAAATACATAAACTAGAAAAATGAACTTCATTATCAACAGTAAATTTAGACAATCCAAACAGTTTCAGTAACAAGCTGTAAAATTTGGAACTTGGGTTATTTTATTCATAAAGCATTGTTTAATGTGTTATATACGCATGTTCCAGCATAAGAAAGTAACATGACTGCAAAACTACTTCAAACCAGCAGAGAACAGTTTTCCAAGGATGTAATTTCCGATTCTCTTATGAAACATATCACTTGGCCTTGTTTTCACCTGCACAAATACTCAGCAACGGCAGATTTTCAGTCACTGTACAGACCTTTCTACACAAACACTGGATGGCACAGCTAAAAAAAAAAACAACGCTGTTTCTCCTACATATTTGCCCTCTCCCTTTCCTGTAGGGACCTAATTGCAAGTTACCTCAGCTCCAGCAGTCTGCCCTCAGGACCCCTATGGAACACCTGCATGCCCTTCCCATGTCCCTACACTCATTCTCAACTGGTTTATTTCTCATTCTTTGCCCTATCTTATTTTGGGGGAGCTCCTAGCTAGAACTGCAACATGAGGCAGCTAGTTGTGGTTACCAGACATGTGCTGGGTAGCTCAACACAGAGGACCACCCAACCAAAAAACTCCTCCCTACACTGAAAACACGAATCAGTTTCTTTCTAATTTTACTTGCTCAACAGGGTTGAAAAGTTTTGAGGGTGAATTTAAAGGCAGAATGTAAACCTCATTTTAGCTGAATGAAAAGAAAACAGTCAGAAGCACATGGATGCCGATTTTGGTATCAACACCAACACTGATGGGGTTTCCCCTCTCTTCCTCAGGACTGTGTGTCAAATTACCTAGAGCTAACCACTTAATGATCTTGCCCCACTACTGGGCACTTCTTAGGTCTCCATCCTAAGGGAATATTCATATAGTTCTATTTGAGCTCAGTTAGGAAACTGTTTAGTATTTGTCAGGCTTCACTAGGAATCTGGTCTCACAGCTGCTTGTGTCTGCTTTGGACACAGGGAAAGGAGGAATCTGCAGTGATCAGTTTGAAGCATTAGAAAATAGCCCTTCAGGATTGTTCTGCAGACTTGCATAATAAACAGATCCACAAAGCAACTGCAGTAGGAATGTTCTGAACATATACAACATTTCTCATAAAATATACATTTCTAGATTTCCAGAGCTTCCTATGTGATACCTGGACTAAAGAAGCAGGGTTTATGCCTTTGAAGTTATGACTGTTAATTATGTCAGTTATTTCATATTTGTAACTAATATTACTTACTACCTTTTGTAGGGGAACCCAAGGAGGTTTGAACCTAGGCAGACATATGAGGAATAAAACCACTTATGAAGATGATAAAACTGCTTTCAAACTTAAAAGTGAACACCAAAACCCTTGCAGATATGGCAAGCAGAACATGCTAGAGGTAGGTCCAGACAGAACTACAGTACAGCAGCTAATCTGACCAAACTCCAATACAGTCCTGATAGGAGAAACATCATACACTTAAAATCCATGCTTAATCCAGGTTCTCCAGTTCCTGCGTGCCTTCAGTGCAGCCCTTGTTTGACAACACCAAAAAGTAACTATTCATGTAACTTGCCTATGCTGGCCAAGACTTCGTAGCACAATTTCAAGATCAGGTAGGAATGCTCAGTGAAGGCAGGAGTAAGTTGTTACCATTTCTGATTAAAAGGTGGGCTCTTTTCAAAATAGCACATGGCATCCTTTTTGATGCAAAATATACTAATTCTGTTCTATATAGGATCTAATTATTAGAGCTACAAGTAAGCTTACTTTTTTTTTAACTACTGAATTTCCTACCCAAAAAAATCCATTTTCTACAAGAAGGGTATGTTTCAAACTAATATACAGAAGTCAATTTTCTAAATTGCAAACATTTATTCTAACAAAAATGCTGTTATAGCAATGATAAATTTGTATAAAAACCTGTAAATGCATTCCAGTTTTTATAGTGCATAGAAACACCAAGGCAAAATACAACAAACAGTATCTTTGACAGCAAGGGAAATCTTTATCAGTGTTCAGCCCTTACAGTCAAACACTTAATGCTCATATACTTCCTACTGGTTTTTATTTGGATTTTAACTTGTAGTAATAACTGCAAAATAAGCCATAAAAATCAAAAAAGCATACATCAGACTGGATTTTGTCCTTCATTTCAAACAAAACAGCCAATGCTAGGCTTCCTGATATTTTCAAACCCATAAGAGCAAAACAAAAATAAATGAAGAAAAATCTATTTTATCTTATTTTTCTGATTTCCTTCACTGAAGTTCAAAGAGAAATGACTAGTTTAAGGAAATTCTATTTAGTTGTTTTTTCATTTGGGCACCCTAGGGAGCTTGCAAGTGTTGCCTGTTTTTCTGTCTTTATTTTGAGAGAAGAAATTCTTTTGAAGACTTTACTTTTCCCTTTTTTAAAATGGAAGTTTTTTATTTTTCTTTTGGATTAGCAAGCAAAGACAACTAATGCAACCAATTGTTTTAGCTGCACATTTTTCAAATGCAGAATGCATAACATAACTAAATGGTACATTTAAAGCAGCATCAGAATTCTATGTATAAAAGAACAAGTGGTATTCATGTTGCTTTATTCTATTACCCTGAAAATTTTAGCTGTCCAAGATGTTCTGTGTGCTGAGAGAAGGTTAAGGAATTCAACAGTATGCTACAAGAAGTAAAAGTACCAACTAGACAGGATGCATGATAAGAACCATACAGGGGTATTTGTGAAACGTCTGTGTTTTGTGTAAATTGTAGTCACAAAACTGGTTTTGCAGCCCTCAAACCCTGCAGTAATTTGTGCAAGCGCAAGGAATTATTTCAGTTATAGTCTGATATGGAACTGTATGCCCTTTGCTTCTCAGAATGTATCTAACATTTTATTTAAATGAAGCTAAGAAAAGTTACAATGAAGATATTTTACTGTTCAGAGCAAACTGCAAGACCAGCAATGTTTCATTTAAATAATGATAAAGACTTCTGTTTGACCATTTCTTTGGTATAAATGGCTGTGTAATTTGCTTCATCTGCTAGTAAAAGGCATTTTCTTTGGTAGAAATACTTTTTTGGTCTTACAAGTCCAGCTTTATAACACTCAGATAATAGGCCCAATTTATACTACCTGTTCATTCAGTGAATGCAAGTTTAGTTCCAATTTAGGACATAAAATCAAATAGATCAGTCATAAAACAGGAAGTCTGATCATTTAAAATCTGCCTTTTAGTAGTAAAATGACAAGCAACGTTACAGACAGAAGTCTAAATGCAGTCTATCAGAAAACACTTCTGTCTGAATAAAATGGGCAGTTTCACAGCTATTTTAAAAGCATCTTATTTCTCCTAAGAGTAGAGTTTACTTAGAAGCACAGTGGATGTTTAAAATGCACAGCCGCATACATCTTCTGTAGCTTTGTGATGATTTCCTCATCTGTCGGCTTAAATCTCCTGAATTAAAAAGAATAAACACATTTCCTTATAACACAAATTCTATTATTCTGCTGCTTAATATTTCCCATTTGTTAAAAAGTAAGCTTTGTTCCAGTTTATATTTTACAATTTTTTTTAATTGCTCAATTTGCAAATCTGAAATCTTTAGTGATTCACTCTGTCACGTGACAAAAGGGCTTTACAAGAATGGGACCTTAGATCCAATATGGGATAAATTCTTGGGTATTTAAGTCACAGTAACCAACAAGTACAATAACATGCAGGAAACAGAGGAGACACTATGCTCCTGGATAATATTTGTTCTTGATTGTTTTCTGATTTTTTAGTCTCTTTATATGAACTTCTGACACTTCTTTCTGTTCTGTAAGAGAACGGGTACAGAAACAATCTTCCTTCAGGTAGATGGCCTGTGATGAGGCAAACCAGTATGAAGAGTGACATGAATGCAAAATCACTTGTACCTCTTGAGATGAGAGACTGGGGTGCCAGATGCAGAGGGGAAATAACAAGGGGAAGCAGCTAGAGTGTGCAGGATTGGTCCTCAATTGGCAGACCATCCTGACAAGCATTTCCAGCTGGCATAATTAGAAGTGGCCTGTAATTAGGCTGTAAAGAGGGCAGAGAACCAGGGAAATTTATTATATAGCTTCCACAGGGCCACTGTGGCCTCTGCTTGCTTCTTCTGCCACTAATCCCTTCAATCCCCATCTATTAAGCTCTACCTTATTTCCTAGACTCCTATAATCCCTTGTTCTGTATCTCTGGTACTGTCACATTTCCCACTTGCTACTGCACTTGCATCCTTCCTCCATAAACTCACTTGACACAAAATACAGTGTGAAAGAGCAGAATTTTGGATATGACACCAATTCTTATGCATCTCAGCACCTACCATGACATTCAGAGAAATGTTTCATGATCAGAAGCCAAGCAATTAAGCAGGCTAACCTGGATCCTATTAAGGACTGCATGGGTAAACATAACTATTAAACCACACGATAGCATTGAATTAAAAGGTTTTGGACTCACTTGTGCTAATATTACATGACTATCTATTGTTTTACCTAAAAAATGGTTCTACTACTGTGTTGTTCCCACATTAAAAAGAATGCAACAGGATGACAGTGGATTTCTTTGTCCCTCAAAGACAAAGACTACTCAAAAGTAAACTAGTCTGTTCCAACTCCTACTTACCTTTTCAGAAATCAGGTTAAATTCTTCTGTGCCTAGCACTGCTGCTTTCCACACCATTGCTTTCTTCTGATTTCCTGTTAAAAGAGAGAGGTTGAATTCCGAAACTCAACTTTTAAGTATAGTATAAGCAGTTATTCCAGTCCACAATCCAGTAACAGAGTACATCAAAGATGTATTTTTATTTAATACTAAAATGTACTAAAGTTATTTTCTCTCCTGTCCCATGTGAAGTTATAAGAAAAGATTAAAACAAAATTTAAGCAACTAAGATACTGACCCCTGCAGTCCCTCAGCCAAGTAGTAAAGTCTCAACTGAATCCCCAACAAAAATCCCACAAATTTCTGAGCAGAAGATATAACAGGGATAGTATTCCCAAAAATTATTGCAATGCTATAATTTTATTCAGTGTACAGAAACTGTACATAAAGTGAATGCTCAAATGTTATACAGCTCAATCCTCACAACAAGAGCTCAAACTGTCATATGATTGCTCCTTCTGGAGTAAATACAGCTAGCTATATGGTGTTGGTCACAATCAAGACTAATAATTCTCTTGTTAAAAAAAAAAATGTATTTCTGAATCACTAGCCTGCCACCCAATACGTTGTTGGATGTGAGATTTTAATTATAGCCTCAAACAAGTCCAGCTGTGTATTAGTTATCCATAACAGACCAGAAAAGTTCCTTTGGAGCCATTCTCTCTAGTACACAAATCTATCTTCTAAACAGCCAGTGGCTGAAATAACTTTCACTTATTAAAATCAGGCAAGAATTACATGGCTTAATAGATACTCATATGATGAAAATCTAAGATAGAACTACAAAGTAAAGATCAAGCAGCTGATCAAAACCACATCCCACATCTCATCAAGTATGAAAACATTATTTAGTGCAGTATACTGTGTTACAATCCTATTGTAATACAGTTTCAGCATGTTTATAAGAAGCAGGGCTGCACAACAAGAACAATTATTCAAGTTTTCAACCCAAGACATATCCCCAAACACACAGCAGTATAATAGGACACTATATTCCTAAGACATATCCCCACTTTATAGTGTAATTGAATTACAGCTTTAGAGCTGTTTAGATAAAGGGAAAAGCACTGAAATGTATTTTCAGCTAGCACTAGAGAAAATGGGAAAGTCAATACAACAGAGGGAAACAAAGAAGGTCACTGCAGCAAGAAATTCAAAATGGGAACGACACTAGTCAGAAAGGAAAAAAGGAAGAAAAACACAGAAGAAGAGAGAGTGAAGAAGACTGGAACAGACTGGACACATTTAAAGAGACGAGGAGTTGCTGATCTGTGTCTTAAAAGAAAAGTTAACTGGTCAAATGAAATGACTGGGCTTCAAAGGAAGGGCAGAGGGAGAGAAGTATAGCTTATGTCAACAAGCAAGCAAGCTTTTAGAAATACATTGCCCTAAGGAGCATGAAGGCAGCATGGGAGCACTGACCCTCAGGCAGCAACACAAGTGCCTACACCTGCTCCTTTGGCTCCAGTAGCACAGCCCTTCCCATGCCCAGGGAGCCCGAGCTACCAGCAGAGCAAGAGGCCCCCCAAGGACGTTGGAGTTACCACCAAAACAGCCACCACCACCAGCTTCCAACACCCCAGCAACCACAAAGCTTACCTAGGACAGTCAGGGCTTTGATCACATGCAAGTAAAAGAAATTTATGTTAATATGGACAAAAAAATACATATGAGAAAAAAAATCACAGCTGCTTCTGTAAAATTTCCACCCGAAAGTCACCTTACTCATAGTCATAGCTTTTCAGAATTAGTTTACACTGAGGACATGTGTCACTCGCAAAAAGTGAAATATCTTCCAGAAGCCAAAATTAACTGCCAAGTAGAAAAAAAACTTCAGCATTCAGCACACTCTGCAATTAGGCAGTCTTAAGAAAAGAAATAAACTGTACTTTAACATTTATTATTAACCCTTACAAACTGGGTCACCAACAAGGTATAATTTTATACAACACATGTAAAAGAGTAAATACTTAAATATACTATACAAATTTTTTTACTTACAGTTGCTCAATTTGGTCAAATTCTCTTTCATCTTCTGCATAACAGAAAAAGGATTATATAGAGTTTCAGTTTAGCAAACACTAGAAAAACTCCATTTAATTACACTATTTACTCCACAAAAGAAAACCCTTTTCATTTTATTAGTTTTTTAGACTTGTAAATCAAATTATCTTGTTCCTTTATTCAATTGAATTACCTGTAAATTTGTCAGAAATCATACTTTGATCAAGTTTTATTAATCTGATTTTAATACCTATATTCTATATATGTATAAAATATAGAAATACATGTATGCTTACATGTATACTATATATGTGTAATACAGAGAGATTTTATATATGTGACTTTTCTTTCATCTTGCACATCTAGTTCAGCTCGCCTATGTGTGCCTTAAGTTCAGCAATCAGCATTAGTGTTTACCATTTTCATGCATTTTTCCTTCTTACTCAGTTTCTTGACAGAAGTTTCTTTCATCAAGACTAACTTGCTTCCATTCCTAAGTATTGCCCAAAGAAGTATACCCTCTAAATTCCTTTATCTTATAAGGAAAAAAACAACATCAAACCCTTTATGAGAAAGCACTGCTTATTGAAAGTATTCTGTACCTAAATTCTAGACCCACAGAAAACATTTTAAAATCTATAATAATGCCATATTCTAAAAGAAAGTATTTTATCAGAAAAAAAAGTCACACTGAACTTCAAATATTAATTGCTATGGGTTCCATCTTTCTACCTTTGGTTGAAATTTCAATGGAAAGCTAAAAATGACTAAAAGACTTACCTGCACATTTCTCTTTCCTTTTTGAATAAAGCTCATAAAGGAAAATAATAGCTACTAGACTAACAACTTCAGCCACAATTGCTAGAAAGGGTTTGAGAGGCACCATGAGGGTCAGGACTTTAAGCTTCAGCTTTCCTTTACTTTTCCCTAGTTCAAAAGTAGCTTCACACCAATATACATCCTCATCTTCCTTAGTGAGCTTCAGTATCTTCAGATGGGTTACATTGGCAGATACTCTATTAATTATGTACTTGTCTGCCCGCAAAGAGTCATTAATGGCAATCTGAAAACAAAAAACAGAAGTCTTATTAATGCAGTGAGAAAGTGTTTAATCACAGTGTTTATATTACCAGATAGTTTTATATAGAGAGCAGTGTAAAATGAGTTAAGAAATGGCATTTTGTGAAGCATATTTAGTCCATCTCCAAGGGAAGGATTAATCTTAGCTGGCCATCTCGGTTCCCTTTACATTCAATGAAGGAAAACAGGCATTTTCAGTGAGCATGTTGTCTGCTTTAGATTATTTAAGATCAGGTGGAAGGTACTCTTGACTCTCTCTACTGACAAAGGCAACCTCAGGATCTAATGCCACATTTCACCACAGCACAAATCATATGCTTTCAAGAAAGCTGTGAAGGGAATGCTGTTTCACTGGGAAATACCTTAACAGCCAGTGCTACTCTCCAGCAGTATAGAGGAGAGATCTATTCATCTCCTCTCAGCTGACAGTGCTCCTCCCAGAGCAGGGCTAAAACAAAGCTCCTATGCTTCCAAAGCTAATGAGGATATGAAAGGTGGGTATGTGAAGGAGGTAAACTGTTGAGCAGTATTATTCCTCACAGCCTTTAAGACACAAGCTGAAGTGAGAAGAGACTTCAGCTCCTTCAGAATCAAGTGGCACAGCAGTCTCCACCACAGGATGGCCTCCTTCAGGTCCAGTGTCCTGGAGAGGTCATGTAACTCAATACAAAGTTACTTGTATCCAAAGGAAAAGGAGTAGGAAGAGAAGGTACACGCTCCTGTTCTCCCTCAAGCCTCCAATACCTTATGTGTCTTTTAAGGAGTGTCCTGCTACAGTAAGATTTTTTTGGTATAAAGTAGTTAAGATTTGAGCAAGACAACCATTATTAATACAGTAAAAACAAGTTCAAGACTCATCTGATTCTCTAAGAGTATGACAGGCCATTCTTGGAAAAGAAACATCACACAAACCAGAACAGAAGCTACATCCCTGTAATAATGAATTATTCTAAATATTGCAGATTTTTTCCATTTACAGATATTTATATTAAATTTAATAAAAATGCAATTTGTACAGCCTGCAGTGAAAACTCATTATACTTTATGAAGTGTCTGTACTTGTTTTTTACCATGTTGTTTTACTTGGCCAACAGATGGAAACCTTACCTGTTCAGTTCCATTTGTCATATACCAGGTCCAAGCAATGGGAGTATAGCCATAGCTTTTACAAATCATTATAGCTCCATCTCCCACATAACCAATTATGGGTTTTTCTCTTCCTTCAATGTGCGGTACTAAGAACAAGCAGGAAAAAGTTCATCAAGTGAAAGCTACAGCTTTGTTACATAACAAAAAATATATTTAGGTATCTATTTATAAAAGCGCATTCACTTTTTTCCCTTAAAAAGATAGATTATTCATGACATGTTCTAAATTAAGAGCCATTTCAGGCTCATATTTTATATACAGAGTTTGTGCAGAAGACTACAGGAATCCTATTCTCAGCTGCCATATGATCTTAAAAGTTGCCAATTAATACTGAAAACTAAGTGATAATCAGAATGTGATTTCTACCCTTGCCCATTTCTTCTTGCCCTTCCTTGACAGCTGTGAGCTACATGCTTCAGTTCTAGTACTCCAGAAGCACACATTAATTTTTCCACAATTTCATGGAATCTGCAAAAACTGACAGAAGTCTATTCCAGCCATAATGGTGTCTGGCAAGTTGTGCATGCAGAGAACTTTGTCATAAGAACAAAAACCACAGGTTTCAGGAGCTTTGCAGTTAAAAATTTCTGAGCTGAAGTAATGACTTTTGGGTGTACACCAGTAAAAAGGGACTTTTGATCCAACCTTGCTAAGAACAGAACATGGTCATAGGAAACACGGCATCAGTTCATAACTTTACAGCTACTTGTCCCAACTGCAGATGCCCCACAGCCTTTCAAGAGCAAAAGCCCAAAACCCACTGTTGAATATACTGAGGCATCCCACAGAGCTAGAGCTGCACAAATATATCATGACAGAGTCTGTATTTCCCCCTTCCCCTTCTCACTGTCATTAGGATGTTTACTAGCATTTTTTTCTCAGATCCATTTATTTTAAATTTTACTTCAATTTTCACTGCTTTATCTTGTAAGTGGAGATCCACTACATCTTTTAAACTGTATTTGTCACACTAGACTGAACAGGCCAAGAACGTGCTTTCAGCAGTTACAATAGTACAATTTGGTGTTAACTAAGGTTGCTCTTCTTCCCTTCTTAATTGGATGAGCACAAATTATTTGCCCCATAAAGATCACTTCTCATGACTACCCAAACTTCAAGAGTAGTGGCAGAGTATCTTCACTGCTTTCAGTAAAAGGGACAACTTTACTAGTAACTGCTGTCATCTCCTTTGCTATTTATGAAGCGAAAGAAACAAAATGAGGTTGGAACAAAATAGAACATGTGACAGCAAATTAAAGCCCTTGGAACCAGCACATGTGGTAGTCAAGAAAATCTAGCCATGCTGATCAGCAGCAAGGCACACCTGTAGGCATACCAGCAATACATGTGACCACATTAGCCATTAAGACATGAATATCCATCATGAGCTCTGGGATCTGGCTCTGTTAACAGACTGGTTAATCCTTTAATGTGTGCAAGGAAATAATACGCTTTGTCCCAGGTATTTTTGCAAGTTGATCACCCAGATTTTGGTGACACAACATTGCTACTGCACAGAAAAACTAACTGTTGAAGAGATGGACACTAGCATTTATGTCAGTCATATCTCCACACTAGTTTAAAGATCAGAGTTGTTTCATAGTGCATGAACCTGGACAGCTGCTTAAGGATCCCTCAAAGGGCAAGCACAAACTAATCTATTCTACTCTTCACTACAGCTATTACAACACATGACACCATTTTAAAATAGTCACGAATGGTCTTCATGTTTAATAATTTGAACTTCCTATCAGCATCTCTTGTTTTCTGTGGACCTGGGTGAAGCTGAAGTGCTCAAAATATGCATAGTTATG